CCATCCTTCCGGCGGCTGCTCTTAACCATACCTTGTACGCTAAATCTCTTCTTCATTCGGTCAACCATGTCAACACGGACCAAATCCCCAGCCACCAAGGCTGGGTAAACCACAGCGATCTGTGGAAGCACTGTTGATTCTCCGTCAGAAGTATCAAAATAGGACGTCAAATTGACTAAACCAGTATGAACCGTAGAGTTAAGGAGAGGCTGCAACTTCATGTAATCTACTTCAGCTGGTGACGCACAGCACAAACGACGAATTTGTTCATGTACCGCCTCCCTGGAGGACATCGAAGATCGGTGAAGAATTAATGGAATGTAGCCAGAAACAATATCCCCATGACTCTGTAAAACAACAATGTTGACAACGCCCCAACTCTGTACAAACTGACGTGGCGGTATAAATACTTCCTGGCAAAAAAACAGTTTGGGAACTTCCATCTCTGGATGGAGAACATCTTTAACCACAGAAAACAACCGTCCATGCGTATCACTATGCATTGTGTAGAATACCAAAGCACCAATTTCAGGAAGCCAAGCATGTACCATCTCATTCATGTACGCCATTGTAGATCCTACTTGTACATAAAAGCATTGCGTCCTCGACACCTTTCGAAGAGTATCGAAAAATCTGACATGCACTTGCTTTCCATCGTCTTTTGTACCAAACACTTTTTCCTTCACATCGCTGCTGCGCGACGATGACAAAGACGCCGACGCACACAAGGAACGGGTATGGCCCTTCTGTGGAGAAGACGGCCGCTTTCTTATTAATCTGCATGGAAGTAAAACTGTGGGCGTAATAAAAGCAAAGCTGACGTGCCCCAATTCACCGTACATTATTGAAACAGACGCCTTTTATTTCCTCCTTCTTCCTTTGGTATGTGTACGCGTGGTGGGGTCTGTGCGCCTAACGTGCACCATAGAAATCCCTAGAGAAAACCAAATCCTGATAAAAAAATATATGCGTACAGAAAACAAAAGGCATGCTTCAAAAAAAAAAACACAGGTATCATGTGAATACTCAGCGTACCTACCATACACAAGCACAAACAACAATAAAAAAAATTGACCTCTACCTTTCACCTATGGTAACAGACGGTTTTCTTTACCTCATTATAAGCGAAAATGCATTACTTCAAATCCTCCCACCTTGCAGCTACCTCTGGGAGGTCACACCTTTCGCACAACTGGCTAATATCACTCTTCAGTGCTTCCGCGATGTACATGTCCTTATTGTCTTTTGAAGCTTTGGTCACCAGTTGGTGAAGAGTCATGATGAAGCTCTTCACTGCCTCTTTATCGCTAGAAGACAGAGCAGTTTTTTCCTTGAAAAGATGAACCTTACCGGTGATATATGTGCGAACGTTGACCTGTTGTAAAATCCTTGATGCATGTAGAAGAACAGTTTCAACGTGCTCAGGCGGAATAGAGCTTTTCAATATATGCTGAACACATTGACTACCCTCTTGAGGGGGGAGCTTTAAAATTAGCGCAGCACTTACATCTGGGTTGTGAGCAGCCATACGACTGAGCAATCCGACGTCTATTCCAATGCGGTTAAACACATCACCAGACGACAGCATTTGAATAAGTTGTTGTTGCTCTTCTTTGCTCAGCGAGGCTTCGCATCCCAGGTTAATCAGCTTTTTGGCAGATTTCCATTCTTCTGTGGCCGGCTCACTATCAATCATAAGCAGATCACACGAAGGTGGCCCCGGTAATAAAAACTGACGCTCGCCTGGTGTCATAGGCAATGAAGGAAGCTGAGGGCACACGATTTGCAAGACCAAAGCGGCACGAGCCTCAGAATCAAGGGCTGCTGAGATCTTAGAGAGTGTTTCGCATGCATTTCTTTCAACATCCAAAGCCCAACAATGGGAAACATTAGAAATGGACTCTTTCAGTTGTATACTGTTGCTCTCCCATGCATTCAGTGCAGCATCGATCTGTTCTTGCTTATCGTTAAGCACGGCAAGCGGTGTTTCATCTGGGCCCACCTTGTTGGCAAGTAACCGGAAGGCAAACCCTTTCGCTGCACAGTGGAGGCGGTATCTCTCCGTATTGCTAGTTTCAAAGGCTTTTTTCCCTTCCTTTGCTTCCTTGGAGGCGTACTTAATCTTCTCTGTGAAGCAAACATCCTGCCGCATTGCCTGTTCTAGTTCTAACAGTGTACTGTAGAATACAGACATGGCAGTCTCACAATCCATCTTGCACATTATGTCCAAGATGAAGAATGAGCTCAATAAACCGATACCTTCTGATGACGCAATCATTCCTTGGACCATCCTCTGAATTGCCCTGGTGACATTGAAGTGGGATTCTTTTGAAAAGGACTCTTTAAAAGTCTTCTCAACCATAGAAAACTTAGCCTTCCCATCGCTAAGAATCTCAAGCAGACGCTGTGTATCTGCTGAACTTAGATATTCTACTGTCATTTCTTACTTTGTACAGAATAAAACCAGAATAAACAAAGAAACACAGAAACAGCAAATATAATATTAAGAAAACAAAAAAAAACAAAAAGGACACAATATGAAGGAAAGTAAGAACGAAAATAGTAAAAATAAAAAAAGGTAAACATGATATTAGAAAAGTACCGAGACACCGAATTCCCCATACCGTTACAATATGACAAAAACAGACCTAATCAGGGGTTATACTTTACATTTCAAACCACATCAAGAATGTTTTTTTCAGTAGAAGCACTTAGTATCACTGGATCTCCACTGAAGGAAATGATACTGGTGACTGCCACCATGCATATGACGTCATCTCCAAAGCTCTCTGGAAGAGCTTGAACAACTCTACCCTTGATGTGAAACGCAATGTTATCAGGGTGCATTGACATAACACTACTTGCTGGAACTGGAATGTTGCCTCGTAAATCGTCATAACTCTTCCCAAGGAATATAGAAGCTCCAGTTTGCGAGAAAAACGTAATAACACATTGGGGCCCAGTATTTTTCTCATCCAAAACAATACTACAGGATTCGGACGGACAACAAATTGAAATGATGGGTGGATTCAAACTGCACATGTTGCATCCACGTCCAACAAGACCAACGGTGCCGTAGAGTTTATGAATAGTCGTATAAATAAAAGGACATATTTTTTCACAGGATATACATTTTGGGAGAACATATGAGTTCCCGCGCCTCAACAACGTGTTATGTGGGTATTCGCCCAGCAGTTGGCCCAGAACAAACAGCTGCTCACCAACCAAAGACGATTCCAAAGTAACAAAAACAGCTTGTGTGGAATTCATTTTGAGAGCATTGGTAGTAACACAGCGTTCCCCTTGACATTCAAAAAAAACTGCTTCATTTCCATTTTGATTAATCCATGAAGGATAGTTACTAATTATACTTTCATACATCGCATCTTGATCAGAAGGCAAAAAATTCAACGTTAATTTCGATCCGGCTGCAAACACATAGTTATACAGCGGTGAGTTCTGCACCAAAGCGAGCGTACATTTATTGTCTCCTCGTGAGTATTCCACTGAGTTCACGATGGAGACGCACACGCCACCACCATACCCCACGTATGACGCCGCCACACACGCCGTAGGTAGTACAGAAAAACACTTTTTCATTTGATTCTCCAGCTGCACGTTGCGATTTTCGCATATAAGATGAGCCCCATCAACAGATCTACTTCTCATCACGGCATTCAAGGCATATTCTTCATAACTTATCCTCCGCTCGATTTGTTTGTAAGCATGAGCAATTTGGGCCTGATTATCATAAATTTGAAGCCGGACAGCATCATTTTCACCCACGGTGGTATCGGTTAAATCAGAAATGGTTTTACCACTCCCAAAAAAAAGCGAAAACCCGAAAAGTAACTCTTTTCCGCAGGGATTGACCCTTTTTCGCCATTCATGCACAAAATGCAATGCGGCTTTACTGTTAGCACATTCAGCAAGAATGCTAGCAAGAGAATGTGCCACAACCACTGATTGACAGATTGCAGTAGCACATTGCATTCCAAAGGGATCGGAACTACAATCTGGCACAGAGTAAGTTGAGACAGCAGGACGCTCATCATCCAAATCCACAGATCCAAGGTATCTTTTCTCGCAGTCTACACCCACTCCACATACACCAGCCTTCCACATTTCACTTTCTCGTGGAACGCCAAACACTCTGGAATACCCTTCATAGGTCACTAGTCCCCCCAACAATTCTTTCAGTTCACTCAAACCAGTTGTAATTTGATCCACAAACCAGGCCTCCATGTAGCTATCGAGGTACAGATCCAGTTTTTTTGGCCACTGCACTCCAAAATTCTCAGTAAGCACTAGTTCTTTCCCCATGTCTGAGTACCAACGTGTTGCCGCAGATGCGCATTCCTCTTCAGAAGTGGGATCCAAAAAGTTATTCACCAACAAGCTCACATCCCGAACACGGGTTAGAATTGAGAAGAGTTCCTGTGAAACTACGGCTTCTCCGCCATTCTTATTATGTCGTGAGACTTCTGACCTAATTTTCTCCACGACCTTGACCGCATTGTCTATGACTTCTTCAACACCACACCTTACATTGCAGACACCTCTCATGTCCCGAGGGTTGAAAACAACCAAGAGTGGCTTTCCAAAAACGGTGACAACAGTATCCGCATTCCGCTCCGACTGCTCTTCCAGCGAGGTTTTTATTGACTCCGAGTCCTCATGGGATTGAAGATGGTTAGCAACAGCTTCATAATAAGAAGGAGGGCTAGATGTTCTCGTCTGCCGCGCAGCCGTCGTGATGTGGCGCGACAGTGCCTCAGTAACATAGCTCCTTGGGTCCCAAGATGGCATTACAACAATAATGTAAAAACTACCGACAACAAAACAAGGGGAAAAAAAGCAAATGCACCAACCCTAAAGCAAGAAACGACCAATAAAAAAAAAGTCTAGCAAAACAAAAAAAAAAAAGAAAGCAATCAAGGTATCAACTTAACTGTCCATCATCGACCATCCACCCATTTCTGATTCGACGGGTGCGTTGTGCAAATGGACGAAATGATTCGATCGGCTTCAGCAAGACGGCTATCATAGGAAACTTCTGGAGGCAGAAAAAATAGCGGAGGGGAGGCACCCGTTACCCTCATTGAGACAGGACACTTATATTCATCACCTTCTTCCACATAAGAGAACCTTAATTTTTCACCCAAGAATAGAAGCCCCTCGACCTTTCCCATTGCTATCCTCGCCAAAGATTCATTCGGGAAACACACCACATAATCCGTTCTTAAAATATGCGATGTAAAATGCCAGCCTATTGCATCAGGGAAAAGGTTTGTCACATCTGCACTCGACATTGGCGAAGACACATTCTCCACTTTGATCCACCTAGTTGCACCATCTGAAGGTAGCTGTGAGAGAATCTCACGCAAAGCAAACATTGGCCAGAAAGACTAACTAATACAGAAAGCGTGAGAGATATAAAACAAACACGTAACCCCACCGAACACACCAACAAAAAAAGGGACTTTCAACAATACCAAATGATTCTTCCACCTAATCCAATTCCCTATGCCAAGTTTCCCATACGCCACTGGAATGTCAATGCCTCGCAAAAGAAAAAAAAAACAAAAAAAGCAAAAAAAATCCACTCACCAAAGCAGACCATGACAACAAAAACGGAACTCGAAGGAAACTCCGCCTGTTCCCTACAGTCGGTGTTTCGTCCCGGTGAGAGAACCACGATCAGCACGAGAGACTGATCGGCAAAAAAAAAACATTCTCTGCTGATAGATACCGCCTTGTCATGGTATCGGGGGCCCAGCGCCCCTCATATGTGAAGGAAGGCAAAGGCCAACTACGAATTTTGCCCCGAAAAAAACGACCTTCACCCCATTGACGTGTCAACAGCAAAACTCTGACACAGCACCTGTGAGTCCCCTTCTTCGGCTG